ACGCGGCGGTGGCGGCGGCGGCGGCTCCGGGGCCGCCAGGCGGGGGGAATGTGGGGAAGGCGCATGCGCGGTGCGGGCCAAAGGCTGCACAATGCCGCTCTCTCCCGGGAGCGCTACGGCAAGGCCCGAGAGCCAAAAAGAAACGCGGGCGGCGCCTTAAAGGGGCCGGCGCCGCCTTCGCTTCGGCCTTTCTTCCCGCCCTCCCCGCCGCCGCTCAGCCCTGTGAAGCGACGGCAGGGAGGGGGGGCCGAGCTCCCCGTCCTGCCCTGTTCTCCGCCACGGGTAAGGCCCCCCGAGCTGCTGCCCTGGCTCTGGGTGTCTCTGTGGGGAGCGGGCATCGAGGGGAGAGCGTCCAGGGCCCTACCCGTCCTGTGGTGCGGAGCAGGTCGCCTCAGGGCCCCATCCAGCAGGTCTGAGCAGGTCTCCTCAGGGCCTATCCAGCCCTGCAGGACGTGCCCGTGTGGCACAGGTCACACCGGGCGCTGTGGGACAGGTACACACCACGTAACACACGGGCATGGCTCTGCTCCCAGGTGTTGCCGTTGTTCAGGAACCGTTGATCCTGGCTGCAGCGGGGTTGGATGTCGTTGGGTCATAACGTGCAGGCCAGCACTGTTGGAAGGGTCCACTGGTACCACAGCTAATCCATAAGGCAATTATGTATTTAACACACAAGGCTGATAGATGTACCATTTAACACTGTTGTATTTCCTTGGGTAAGAGTATATCTAAGGTGGTTCTCTGTGTACCGGTGTACAAGGGCCACGGCTCAGGAAAGCGTTTAACTTTGATTCATTAAGGCCAAACAGCCAACTTAAAGTTAGGCATGTGTTTAAGCACTTTTCTGGAGAGCAGTGGTTTTTCTTTCTGAACCGCAACCCATGCCGCGCTGAAAACATTACAGTCTGCTTTCAGTTATGCGGGAAGAAAAGAAGGGGACACGTGTCATTTGCTGGCCCTTTAACACAGGAAGATCTTTGGGCTCCAAAAATTCTAGTGGCAGTTGAGAAAGGAAAGGAAAAAAAAAAACCAGCAAACTCAAAAAAAACTGTGGTACGGTTTCTTCTCCAGCCGGGAAACCCACGGCAGAAGTCTGGAGAATTAACCCTGCTGTGTAAACTCAGGGAAGTAAAACACAGTGTTACAAAAGCTACACAGTCCCCAGAACAGTGTTAGGAAACAAATCCAGTTAAGTTCCTGTTGCCGATTCTTCCAGATGGTTTTGGCTTAAAGTTTTCATTCTTTTAAAAAATAAATATGAAATACAATGAGAAAACACAATGGGCAGTATAGTGCTATGTATTTATATAACTTTCCTGAGGTAGAGATAGGGTGTTTTTGTTTCTTTCGTGTTGGAGATAAAAGTTTGTATTGTGCCTTGATTCTTTTATACAAATATATATAAAACACACACATATGTATGTGTTAAAATCCTTATCTGTACTGAATAGTACCTCTCTGGAACTTGAAAACTAGCCTCAACTAAAAATTTATCATAATCCTAAACAATCCCTTAGCCTCTAAGTGTCCTGTATTTTTTTAAAACAAGTTTAAAGTATGATAAACTCTATTTGGCAAAGTACTTGGTCACATGCTAGACTGGGTTTTTGACAGCATGGCGCTTACGGAAAAAGGCAGCTCAGCAAGCAAGGGCATTCTGTTGGGACTGCATAACGTGAGTACCTGGGGATTTGCACGGACAGCCTGTTGTCTTTGGATGAAATTTAAATTGTTGGTTATGAGTCATCTGTGAGGGTCTTTCTTGCTCCCCCAGCCATGCCGCTACAGCTGGGATCAGCAGGATGTAGTATCTGTCCAAATTCGCTTTCTGGAAAAGAGTGAGGCTTGGCAGGCTTCTCCCTCACAAAATCTTTCATTCCATTTAGTTCAAAATAGCCTGAACTTGGTGACTTGCCAAATGCGCTGGAAAAGACACCTGTCTGAGGGTTTTTTGGGGGAGAGCAGCTTCCCATAATGATGAAAGGGAAAGAAAAGTCCATGAGTGGCTCAGACTATATGGAAGTGGCAGCTTTCAGTGCTACTGGGATCCCTTTGGATGACTTTGAGGGTGTCAGGAACAGAGCTGAGGCCATCGGTCCTGCTATGACTAATGTCTACAATTTTGTCACAGGTTCCACCGAGACCAGAACTAATCCTGTCCTGCAGATTTGATCCAAAGGACATCAGTGTTTGTGAAAAAGCTCCCACTAACTTCAATACATGCTGGATCTGCGTAGACCTGACTGCTGCAAACAAGCTTGTGCTTACATTTGGAATGGTGAGTAATAAGGCACTAAGCATACAAGCTGTGTAAGCCCATGTTTATGTTTTGGCACAATTAGCAGTCTCAGTTAGGACTTTTATTTGCTTGGGCCTCTCAGCAGACAGAGGAAGCACGGAACAGACTTACCGTGTGTTACATGCTGCTCAAGAAACAGAGGGAGGAAGAACTCATGAGAGACCTGCTGCATCTTTTAGGCTTTTAAAGAGCAGCTGATCTCTGACATATAGCTGTTTCTGTGTGGTTGCTAATATGCTGCTCTGTTGTTTTTTTCTAAATCTCAGATACATCGCATTCATATGTTCCTTCTGGGATTTAAAAACAAACACTGAACCTGTTCCAGGCTGATATTTCTACCTCCCCCACTACAGTATGAACCTTGCTTGCATCACTGCCAACATTTGTTCATTTAAAACTAGGAAATCTTACCCCAGTGGAGATCAGGTAGGATTAGATTCATTGTGCCCTGGGAGGGATGTGTACAAACACTTAGCCTGAGCACAAGGGGCCTATGGAAGTTGAAGAACTTCTTTCAAAGTAAGATCATTGAACTCTGCATGTACAGAGCTCCATGTTAGTGAAGACCTGTGAAGAAAAAGTCCACATTTTCGGAGAGAAGGTAGGACTTCATGCAGGATTGGAGTCCAGCAACGTGCTATAGTCTGTCATTCAAAGCAGATTCCCCCCAACTCAAGTCACAGCTAAGTTAATGCATAAAGGCTGCTGATTTGAGAGCCCCAGACTGAATCACGCACGGTCTGGCTGCCAGACGTGATGACAGCCTGCCTCTCCCAGCCACTTCAACTGGAGCAGCAGGTTCTCAGCACTTCTGTGAATCAGGAGCTTCATTCTTGGCTGCTGCAAATGGTTGCAGCTCCAATGAACGGACAGGTCGACACAATTAACTCATACCCCAGAGAGAGTTTTAGTGAAATCTGAATGTATTTATTACACATTGTAATTTAGAAATCAAGATGTTTGAAAGTGTTACTGTTTGGTTCAAGTATCTCTTCACCATTCTCTCCAGTCTTTGTAAGAGGGTAGGAGGAAAAGTAAGAGAACACAGAGGAATCCATCAGGGCTTTAGCCAGGTGAAATCTAGTATGTTCTAGTATGTGTTAGTTTAAACTGCCAGCTCAGTAGCACACACAGTTCACAAGCTTGCTTACCTGTGCAAACCACTGTGTTAACAGCAGGTGCTAGGTCTCTACAGCACACTGAATGTGTAACAAAACCATTTAGATGCAGCTAATTTCCACATAAACATTTACTGTGGCCAAAAATACGTAGCCGTATTGGCTGGGCAGTTTGTCTTCCCTTCTCAGAATCTGTGGTCATGTCCCTTTTTTCTCTCCCACAATAGTTTAGGCCTTTGCTCTGCTTCTTTCCATACATAAAAATCTTGGACCACTGTATCCCAGCCTCCAGCTCTTCCAAGCAATGCTTCTTGCTACATCCTGATAAAAGACACTGAAGTGAGACAGAATATTTTGTGAGCTCTTGATTCCCTTCCTCTCCATTGGAGGAGAAGCCATTCATCCCAGTGTCTCTGGTTTGAGAACTGCCGATCCGTGAGGACATTATTAAAATCCACTCTGAACCATCCATTGGATATTGGCTGTTTCCAGCCCAGCATTTAGATCATAATAAAAACTTATATTTGCAGATGAACACTTACAGGATCCTTTGGGTCTTGGACAGCTCAATTCTTCCCTGCCTTCCCATCAGTTACCACAGTGCTGTGCCTTCGGGGGCTTGTAGACATCTTGGTTCCTGGGTTCCCTGCCTGGGGGTTCTGCTCACCCTTTTCCAGATGAAGAGTGAACACTGAAGAGACAAAGGTCCTATAGGCACTGAGTAGCCAGGGTGGCCTCACCAACTGCTGAGTGCAGGATGAGTCGGAAGAGCTGAGTCCCAGTTCTAGCTCTGCCCGTGATTCTCTGCATCATCATATTCCCTCTCAGCTTCGTCGGCTGAAAAACAGAGCTCATAATATTTCCTTATTTACAAAAGCTGTTAGGAGGATTATTGCATTGTTGTGAATTCTACAGATGAAAGGTGCTACAGAAGAACAAACTGCAATTATTATTTCACACCTCTGCCCTAGTCCTGTCATCCTTACCTTACTGAATAACGCTTACTCAATTGAGGAAATCCTGCCGCTACAGTGAAGAAAATCATTGGTAAAGTTGACTCTCTGTTGCAATAAGAGCATTTATCCCCTTCTGTTCAACACCCTTCTCTCTGCCGCCGGGATGATCGGAGTCATATTAATCCCAGACATTTTACTACACACTCTTAAGCAATCTTCTGCTTGGGCACTATTATGTCTTTATCCCAAACATGACTGTTACTGAATAAATTCTCTTTTTGTAATGTATAACAACATCCAGTCTAGAGAGAGCAGCTGCTGGTAATAAGATCTGGTGTGAGCTGGCTGATATGTGAGGTCTTTTGTAGCCCATGGTGGGCTGATGGCTGACAAAATGGTCCGAATGGCCCAATTTGCTTGCCTTGAGGCATGTGAAACTTGCGTTGGCCTTTCATGTGCATGTCAATGTACAGCGTGCCTACGTCTGAGCCCAGAGATGGAGGACAGAGTGCATTGCTGATGCGGTATTCAGAAAAATTGGTGCTCCCAGTTAGTGTTCCCAGCAGTCCCTGAATACTATTAAAGGCTCACAAAACTCATCGGTCCCACAGAGACAAGTATCTCCCTTTCCCATCCTTGTTTTCAAAAGGCTCAAGTCCTACCCTGGACACCCAAGAGCAAAGAAGCAAAAGGTGTCAATGTTTAGTAGCCCTGAAAACCACTCTGGTTTTGCATAAATAAGTTTTTTCTTGTCTAAGCCTGTGCACAAAGCTTCCTAGAAGGACGAATGCACCACTGTGCACTAAGGGTTAAGAATAGTGCAATGGCAAGGAATAAATAAACTGCAGGTGTTAGTTAACAAGGTACTAATTGGGTAACTGGAGGTGCAACATAAGAGACCACAGAGGCTAATCAAAAGGCTTTGGGTGAACTCAGGATGCTCCTCTGAGCTTGTGGAGGAGGAAGAAAAAAGCTACTGCTCTAGTCTTGTATTTTATGGAAAAGCTGGCGTTAAGGTATTCTGGAACAGGCAGACTGTTATACCTTATGTGTAGAACTAATATGACAGAGCCTGTTCGGAAATTAATTTAAAGATTGCAACTATCTTTTCCTCAGTCTAAGTGCTTTTACTTTGGGTGAGGTACCTTGTGCTTGAATCATTCTGATTTGGTTTCACTGTACCTCCCGTGGTGCTTATTCAAACAGAGTCAGCCTGTGGCTGTTCAGCTAAACCATTATCTAAACTCACTGTCTTGCATGAAGAAGGCTTTAAGGATCCCTAGAACATGTTTGCTTTCCTGTTCCCTTGGAGGGTGCAGCTGGGTTCTTCACGTGCAAGTTTGTCAGCCCTACAGGTAGGTGTGTGAGTGACTTGGATGTTCCAGTTTGAAAGCTGATAGTGGTGAAATCTTTGGGGACAGTTTCCCACGTGAATTGTTTTGCCTGCTCAGGCTGATGCGTAATGAACATAATAATTTGGGGTGAAATTGTCTTACACCCACCCTGGGTGAGATAAGGAAGCACAAGGTGTAGTTGAGGACTGTGTTTGGGTTGTAGTTTTGTTGCAGCATTTATCACCAAGCTGCTCTTGAAAGTGGATTTGCAGAGTCTTACATTTGAGTCAACACACTTTGTTGCAGGAATTTGTCTCAAACTAAAATACAAATACACTTTAAAATGCAACTTGCAGATTATGGTGCAGCTGAGAATGAGTCTTCAGAGTGGAAGGGGAACGTTTTCCTGAGTGTTCATAGCGAATACTCACCTGATTACTGCCTGCCCCCTCCCTTGGAAAGCTTTGGCCTGACAACTTCTCCCAGCCCCTCATGCCTAGAGCAGCAGCAGTTTTCATTTAGGGGCTCCTTGGTCATACTCATGATTTGGTATCTAGGTATGTTATGGCATTCATAAATTTATACCCTACATATCCTGGTGGAATAGACATTACTGGAACGGGACAGTGCGTTCGAAAGAACTGACCTCCTGCTCTTCAGCTCTCAAATGCTTTGATATTCTCTTAGGATTGCTTTGGAAATGGGAATACAGCAGAAGGGTGGTTAAAAGTGCCCTGTGCTGAAAATCTAATCCTTCCCTGCGCTCCGGTTATCTGATCTCCAGGGTGCTTTTAGACCGGGCAGAGTTCAGGTGGCCTTTCAAAGGGACTTCCTCGCTCAGTTTCTCAATGTGAAACATACAATGACCAGACACAGGGCATGTTCAGTGAACACCAGCTTGTGATGTGTGGCTGTTCCTCTTGAGAGGAACCAGAATGTACCTTTGTCTTAGCGCTCGTGTGCTCTGGGTGCAGAGAGCACTGAAGTGTCTTTGGGGTACCTGATGGGCGAGTCTAAAAGGTCAACTTGCAGGTGCCTGCGGGCAGAGGGAAGCCCAAGGCACACACTGACCCAGTGTGGGGTTTGGCTGTAGGTGCAGATGCAGCTTCAAATGATGTCTTACAAAGTAAATACATCTAAGAGTGAGCTTCTAGTTCCTGAATCTGTGCAGGCCTTGAAGTTGAGAACAAAAAAGTGCTTTTTTTTGGCTTCGGTTAAGATATATGAACAACTTTGCTTTCATCCTGAGGCAGCCACAAGCCTGGCTAAGCGGAACTTTCCCAGGCATCTGTTGTCTTGCCTATGCAAAGCCCAATTTTCCTCTTCGTATCAGACCTCCTGAGAAATTTTGGTCCCATTGGTCATGTTTTTCAAAAGCTAATCTTCTGGAAATAAGGTCTTCCAGTAAAACTGCCTTCGCCTTATGGTTACAACAAACTGACTTATTAATTGGCATCACCACGTGGCTGTCTGTGTCCCAGGCAGGGTGGCAGCCTCTGCTGGCATATGTGTCTGCAGAGAAATCCCATAACTACTTCTTATTTTATGTTGGCACTCAGATGTTTCCCCTG